CAGCGTTATGAACACTGTAGTGGTGTGTTTTATACAACTATACACCTATATCGCAGTTCAGCAGCATAAAAATATTACACGGTAAAATATCTGCAGCAGCGTTATGAACAATGTAGTGGTGTGTTTTATACAAATATACACCTATATCGCAGTTCAGCAGGATATAAATATTACATAGTAAAATATCTGCAGCAGCGTTATGAACACAATAGTGGTTTTATACAAGTATACTCCTATATCGCAGTTCAGCAGAATAGATATATTATACAGTAAATATCTGCAGCAGCGTTATGAACACTCGTAGTGTTGTGTTTTATACAAGTATTCTCCTATATCGCAGATCAGCAGGATAGAAACATTACACAGTAAAATATCCGCAGCAGCGTTATGAACACTGTAGTGGTGTGTTTTATACAACTATACACCTATATCGCAGTTCAGTTGGTTAGAAATATTAAAATAGCCAAAATATGTGCAACTAAAACACCCCAGCTAAAAATATAGAAAAATTATACTACGTTGGTTGGTGTGCAAACGTAAGAAGCTGTGAGAAAAACCAATTAAAAGCCGTGAGAAGCTGCACGGTAAAATATCTGCAGCAGCGTTATGAACACTCGTAGTGGTGTGTTTTATACAACTATACGCCTATATTAGCAGCATAGATACGTTACACAGTCAAATGGCCGTTGCAGCAGTTTTATCTGTGATAAATGTGCTTGGTGGCTGATAGGAAAGCTGCATGGCCCATAATTTATGTCAATTTCTATTCAATACCTGGACTGATATAATTATTTTATTTCTGGGGTAGTAATGTTAACTTTGATAATTCTTTCATCAATATACAAATAATTTTCCACTGTAATTAATTATTGATAAATGTGAACAGGTGAATTCGATCGTATTGCTCGTTCTTAATATTTCTTAATGCATATTTTCTTCATATTTGATATTTAGAAATTTGTTATGTTTTGAAGATAATGGAAAGGAAACAGGTTTAAAGTTGTAACAGTTTCTAAGCAACTTCTTATAATTCTTTTCCAAGTAATCTCCCAGATTGTCCTTTATTATGATACTTTAAAGAGCACATAATTTATTTGATTTATCAACCAAAAATAAAACCGCTTACCAACAATTAATTCCATAATGGTTCTTGTTATAAAAATTTACTGATATTGTTCTTAAAGGCAAGATAAAGTCGTTTTTTAATGAAGCTCTGTAAATGAAGTAAATTACATTCCTACGTAAACCCACATAATAGACTTGGACCGAAATAAAATAAGCTTGAATTATGTTCAAAAGTTTCCCTTCATTACTCACGTCCTAAAGTTAGGATATAAATAAAGTTGATCTTGATTTAGTGTAACCGGCCAACCCTTGCTGTGTAGAGGCGGGTGGTTTGCGTTATTAAATGGTGATAACTATTCGGTTATATTTAAAAGATTTCCTTCAGCAATTATCTAAACTTTCAGTCGTTTTGACAATTTCTTCAGCTTTTTCTAAATTTAAATTATGTTTATATTAGTCAACTTCTTACGTTTGCACACCAACCAACGTAGTATAATTTTTCTATATTATAAGCTGGGGTTTTTGGTTGCACATACCTTTGTGCTATTTTATTTACATGTGTCAGTACTATTACGTCTAAGATTCGACAAAAGCTGTAATGAGAAATAGTTAGATTGGTTAATAAAGATAAAAAATTTTAATGACCCATCCTATAGTATAACACATCTACAATAGCCATAATATTCTACCACTGCATGTAAACCATAGAGAAAATTAAATTATCAAACATTCGCACAGTATCACAAACTATATTCATTAAATTTAAAACATAAACATAGCTGAAAACAATCCTGCTTCGACAGTTCTCATTTCATATCACAGCTTTTTGTCGCTGCTTAGTTCAAATTAGCTGTTGTCATGAATGAAAAAAAAAAAATTATAGTGCTGTACCCCGTTGGTAAACCTTATAACTTTTTAATACTATTGTATATCATAGAACCATATTGAACCAACCTAAATAGTTGAAACAGCAGACTAAATTCTTTAATTCCTTTTAAATATGAATATTCATAAGGTTAACATAAATAACTACAGAGCCACTGGTGCGGAGCCCGAGAGGATTTTTGGAAAAGAATAGGCCTATATGTTAATCGGGAATGTAAGCTTTCATCATGCCAAATTTCAGCCCAATCCGTCGAGTAGTTAACGGGTGATTGAATTCCAAACAAACAAACAAACATACATACAAACAAACAAACATACATACAAACAAACAAACAAACACCCAAACTTTCACATTTATAATATTAGTAAGGCAAGACAAAATAAGATATAACTTTGGCCTTATGTTATATATCTTTATAACCTGATAGCACAATAAAGATCAATAACACATGATACCTTTTCCTGCCCAAAGCCTTTTAGGAAGAAATTTAGATTCTGTTTTTGAAACATGAGCAGGCATTTAATCAGGATATTCTCCAGTTTAGAGTTATCAATTGGAGTATTTTTTCAGATTCGACGAGGAGTTTGTATAAATAAACTGCTGCATAAATATACTATTATAACAGCATATGAACATATTATATATATGGTGCAGTAGCTAGAGGTGATAAGTCGCGGGAGCCTGTGTACAGGTATAACAGGCGGTCCTGTGTGAGGTAGCGCCTGTGCCAGAAGGCTTATGGCTCAGATTATGACGTCATTTTCTAGACTTTCGTGCTTTATCACCTGTAATACTTTTCTCTTTAAAACCAGATAATAATAAATCACAACCTTTATGTTTTGGCAAGTTTACAGTGACAACGTTTACTTTTTAGCAATGGGCAAACATATTTAGTAAGTCATGGCTTCATTGGAATGAATCTCTAATCACTTGTTCTTATTGTATATCACATATATATATATATATATATATATATATATATATATATATATATATACAGGGTGAATAAAAAGTCAAGACCCCCCCTCTATTATTTTTCCAAGTAATTATACAGAGATATCCTTTTGGTGGTGAAGAAATCTTAGCAAAAAGTTTCATTTTATCATTTTGAAATTTTTGAGTGTCCCCCCAAAAGGGGGGATTTGGGGGGCAACTCAAATATTTTAAATGTAAACCCCCTTCAAGTGACACCTCATTTTGAAGTGTTTACAAAAACTTAAAGAATGGTGAAAACTAGAGGTCGCTATCTCTTCTCAATCCAAAATGGTAGCCCGTCAAATGTTGTGGAAAATCAACGGTAAAATTGTTAATTTTGGCTGCCATTTTGGATAGAGAAGAGATAGCGAGCTCTGGTTTTCACCATTCTTTAAGTTTTTGTAAACACTTCAAAATGATGTGTCACTTGAAGGGGGTTTACATCAAAAATTTTTGAGTGCCCCCAAAAGGGGGGGATTCGGGGGACAACTAAAAATGTTTCAATAGAAACCCCTATCAAGTGACACCTCATTTTGAAGTGTTTAAAAAAAACTTAAAGAATGGTGAAAACCAGAGCTCGCTATCTCTTCTCTATCCAAAATGGCAGCCAATATTAACAATTTTACCATTGATTTTCCACAACATTTGACGGGCTACCATTTTTGATAGAGAAGAGATAGCGACCTCTAGTTTTCACCATTCTTTAAGTTTTTGTAAACACTTCAAAATGAGGTGTCACTTGAAGGGGGTTTACATTTAAAATATTTGAGTTGCCCCCCGAATCCCCCCTTTTGGGGGGACACTCAAAAATTTCAAAATGATAAAATGAAACTTCCTGGTAAGATTGCTCGACCACCAAAAGGACATATCTGTATATTTACGTGGAAAAATATTAGAGGGGGGGGGGTCTTGACCTTTTATTCACCCTGTATATATATTATATCGCCTGTCTTTTTTAATTTCATTAACTTATTTAAAGTCGTGCCAATGGTCTTTACTATTATTGCTTATAACTGCTAGAATTGACTGTACCCGAATGGAAACCCTGTAAGAAATTAAGAATTTAAGGAAGAAATTTTAATGGGCATAATTGTATTTCACATAAAAGTTTAATTATGTTTTTATGCAGAGGAAATTTAAAAAAATCCAAGAAAATTAATTGTGTTCATATTTGTTAATCACATATTCATAGAGTAATAATGTGTTACTAAATGTAAATAAGCAAAAATATTATTATCCTCAATAGTTATCCTTTTTTGAAAGTAATACACAACTTAAATCAAACATGAGTTAAATCTTGTTAATAGGCAAGCCCATTTGTAATGCCAAGGCAGGGAAGGTATTTCAAAAAAATTACGTTAAAAAGAAATTTTTAAGTCAGGAAGATGTATGGGAAATGTCAAAAAGTTTCCTCTCCCTGGGGATGTCAGATAATTGGGGTATAAATAAAGTTGATCATGATTTAGAATGGCTGACTGCCCCACGCCTCACACCCCGTGCCCAGAGGCTGAATAATGTTACTGCAATTAATGCTAACTGAGTGGGCCAACGGAATTACTGCTTAATGTAACCGTGCTTTGTGTTCCAATTACAGTTTCGTACAAATTATCTGTTGTATCATTTGAAAAAATACAGGATTAGTCGTTTAAAATACACAGAAGCATTACTTACATATAATAAGTTAATAAGTTAATATTATAAGTAATGGAATAGTGTTTGTTTAAAACTATAAAGGCACGTGTGTAAAAAATAAATTAAGTTTTGTTCCAAATGTAAACTTTTTCATGACGAAACTTGTTTTATCTCAACTTCTTGTCTCATTTAGATGATTATGGCCAGGTTTTGAATTATGATGCATTTAGATTAGTGTTTATTTTTTTATTAAGATCACAAATTAATGTTTGCCACTATACAAACATTTCAACCATCTCTAGACACCATCCAGGCCAAAGAATAAAACCACGTTTACTTAGAGTATAAATAACTAATTTATTTATTTCTGATTTATAAGACTGACATTCTGCATGTAGTAAGGCATTATTTGTTTTCATTCATATATATTGTTGTGTTTCAGTACTGAATTGAAGCAAATTCCCGCGTTGAAGAGAAGCCGACCAGACCAAGATGGCGGCGTTTGTGGCGAAGCAGATGGTGGGGAACAAGCTGAACGCTGTTAAAGGTGAGTTGTATTTAAACTCATAAACCACCAAATCTCGTCACATTCCTAGGTTTTGGTAATCAATGTCTGCCTGTTAGAACAGTCTGTCAACAAAAAATTTTAGAGTTTATAAAAGCAACGTCTACATTTATAGGAAAACGGTTTGTTCCTTATTGGAAATTGCAAAAGGTATTTATAGGTACGGGTTATATTTTAATTTTTCTTAAAAGCCTTTAGTAAACTAAAATGGCCATTTAGAATATTCATATATCGATTATTCACAGCTATCCTTAAATTTAAAATACACCGCCACAACAAACCTGCAGACTGAATTCCAACTTGCCTGATTTGACTTTCAATTAAATCCATTTCAATAACATTAAATTTAATGAATATCTAGGTTTGCTGCTACAGGGAGGGTTATAAAGTGTGCTTTGTATTAAAATTATTAATAGCTTAGTAGTATAAAATAAATTAATTTGCCGAGTTTGATCAAAATACATCCATAAACAAGCAAATTACAATAGTTTTCTTATCCTCCTTAATAAAAATTCAATATCAGAAGATATTTATTTATACTACATTATGTTGTGTTAAGATGTTTATAAACGTTTAAAATTATATTTAATTCGTGTCAAAGTATTTTTTATGTTCAACACTACCTAGGTCACAAAATGCAGATATCATTCCCATTTACTCAAACATAGAAAACTCGTTATTAGTTTTATCGATGCAAATCGATTATTGAACATGAGCGACTCGTGTACTGGTGAAAAATGCACCGCTATAGTTGCAAGTGCAGGCCAAAGCCGTCCTCTACCAATTCCAATTATTGTTTAGCCAAACAAAGAGTTAATTGTTAATCTATGTTATTGCAATCGTTTGTTCATATAAATTGAATCAGTATGCGTCACTTCCCTTTAATGTTTACAATTATTAGCTATCATAGTTTCTATTTAGTTCTAATAATAACCTTTGAGTTATAGACATTCTGTAGTTTTAAACAGTATATAAAACTTTGTCGGTGTCCTCAGAGATTTTAACAGGACATTTGAAATTTAATTAAGATAAAATTGATAATATGATAGTGATAACTAGCTTGAA